ATGATTTTGTAACTCGATAACAAGTTGAGGGACCTTCAGTGTACTTTAAAATTCGATTAGTAGCGTAGATTTTGTCCCAGTACAAAAAAAAAAAGCACACGGAACTTGATTCTCCACCCACAGCCCACAGGCTACAAGCACAACTCTCTTAGATAGTATTAGCGCTCCCGTCACTTTAATTTGCCCGTTACAAAAAAGAATGTGAACACTAAAAGACGAAAAGGCCTTCACGTCAACTCCAATATCTTCTTCATCCTTCAGATCATGACTTGTCTCTTTTGCTTAGCCGTATCAGGTAAAAATAGATAGCGATTTTTAGTTTTAGTGGATTAAAATCAAGGAAATAGATAGTGATGTTGTCATGCTGATCACCAGCACGGAAAAGATAAACGCCGCTGGGAGACGGGCGGCTTGTGAGCTCATCATCATACATGTGTTGCGAATAACGGTTTGTCTACCAAATCGAATTTTCTCTACTATAATCTGTGCCACGCCTCCTGTAAACAGCTTAGCGTATGAGTTAATGTGGAGATGAATTGTTACCAACAAAAAGAGATGAAGGTTATTTGGTGAGGGTAGAAAGAAAATTCAGTTTTTTCCTGTTGGCAGCAATTAATGCATAATTAGTGACAAACTGTAGTGGAGTATCATCCTATTTTTTTCCCAGCGTTGTCAGTGAGGTGTAGGTGTGGAGATAATGAACTATATGCCACTTTTAGATGTGGCAATTAACTATTTGCCATTAGACCCACATATCATAGACATATGTGGACCCACATGTCATTGAGATAGGTATGCCAAATAGTTAATTGCCAAATCTAAAAGTGGCAAATAGTTAAATGCCCCGATAGGTGTGTATGTACTGCAAATGCATATATATTTTACATTACTGTTCATACGCGTATAATAGGAAAAAACATAATTGTCATCATCCATACATAAAAGTGTTTACACATTGATCCATTAATTCGGAACCCAAAAGGCTCAGTTAATTCAGCATCTACTGTTGGGGCTGAACCAAATCATTTGAACGTGTAAACTATAGTTCATCAACTGACAACCATATTTTACACAATCAACCCATCATCTTACCATGAACTCTGAGAATAGTTTCAACTAGCAAACCAGCACCAGAACAACAATAAACACATGCACACAAGACATGTTGTTTGTGTGGAAAAACATCCTCGGTGTGAGGAATAAAAAACCACGGGACCAATGTTCCACTCCGAACTTCCACTATAATCAACAATGGATACAAATGGAGTCTTCTCTAGAACATTTAGAAACACATCACAACAATAGCTAATAGCTATAACATCAAGTTGCACACATGACATCATCAATATCAACCATCAAAACTAACAAGAGGTATATCATCAAACAAGCGAGAAATAGTAGATTATGTCCTCTTCGGTTCTCAGCTAAGATCTCCCAAATTATAGATGCAAATTGTACGAAACTTGATAGAAATGATGGTGTATGAGTCCCTTCCAAACTCTAAAAAAAACAGCACAATCGATCACCATTTGACCCCTCAAACTGACATTCTACCAAATGTTGCATAAGCTGTAACTGCAGTAACTCGAGCTGAAAAACTACTACTCAAATCCAGTGCTCTTCTCAACCGATTCTCACATAAACTGATCAGATTGAAGTGATCAAAGTGAGGAACGAACTCACCAAGTTTGGTGCCAATCCAATCACGTTTGAGCCTCCTGACTTGATGAAGATTGGGTAAGAGCCACCAAGCCGAACAAATTACAACTCTTCTTCTCCACTCTCTTCTCCCTCCCTTGTGTTTTGCTAGTTTCTTCTCATCCTCAATGGCTGCTGCTACACTCTACTCTTTCAATGGAGGCTGGTTTTTCTTCCCATCACAAAAGATGATGCAATCTTCACCATTAATCAAGGCATGAATCAATGGCTCACATTTATTGGACTTTTGGGCTGCAATAGGCTAAGAGCACAGTGTGACGCCCCACACTCTCCGAGGCCGGGCCCTTTTACATCTGGCAGCTACTTTTCTTCTCCACTCTCTTCTCTCTCTCTTGTGTTTTGCTAGTTTCTTCTCAATCCTCAATCGTTGCTGTTACACTCTACTCTTTCAATGGAGGCTGGTTTTTCTTCCCATCACAAAAGATGAGGCAATCTTCACCATTGATCAAGGCATGAATCAATGCCTCACATTTATTGGACTTTTGGGTTGCAACCTAAGAATTCGTTCGAGATCGGCTTCCAAAAAAGAAGTTGTAACTTGTTGGTATGAGTATTCTATTAATCCTATTAAGACCTGGGCCGGGATGTCACATTCTCACCCCCCTTAAGATACCGACGTCCTCGTTGGTCAACCCAGGCCAGGAACATCCCCTATTAGCACCACGTATATACAAACAATTTTCGGCGTATATATACGTATAGTTGCAAGGGTCGGCTCTGATACCATCTGTGATGCCCCACACTCTCCGAGGCCCACTTTGTCCTCACTCGTGCGCACCCGGGAAAAATTTCCCAGTCGGTCACCTATCCCGAAATTGCTCCAGGCCAAGCACGCTTAATCTCAGAGTTCTTTCAAAATCGGCTTCCGGAAAAGAAGTTGCAACTTGTTGGTATGAGTATTCTATTAATTCTATTAAGCCCTTAGCTGGGATGCCACACAGGCTCCAATTGGAGAGAATTTAGCCCAACATCTACCAGATGCACCTGAAGATGTAACAACATAATGCCCAAAACACTTTTTTTTTCTGAAATAGAAGCTTGTCTTAGAAAAAAAGTTTACAATACCACTTTAGCAATTTCACGAGGGAAAGTGTCTGATCTGAATTCAAATCTTATAAGGTTCGTGACAGTACTACCAATTAATTGCTACATAGAGACACAAAATGGTTGGGATACTCACAAAAAATGGGATTTTGTTTTCAGTCAAATCATTTTATGATGCAATGAAAATAGAAACAAGTGGTTACCCTTTCAAGAAGATGTGAATTTAAAATTTCAGTTAAACTCGAAGTGTTCATTTGGTTAGCACTTATCTTGACTAAAGATAACCTCATTAAAAGGGGATAGAAAAAAGAGAACATGCGGAGAGCGCGTGGAGCCTCATGGCCACGCGCGCGGCAGGTGAGTGATGGGTGGGTGAGCGACGGTGTCCTCCGCGTCTCTCTTCCTCCTCTGCCTCGCAGGGAAACAGGAAGTAGTAGTACAAGAGGTGAGAGGAGTAGTGTGTAGTGCAATGTGCACACGTATACCGGTAGAGTAATTTTACCATCCAACATTTGGTACATCGAGGTACCACATTTTGCATATAAAGTTTTAAAACCTCGAGGTACTAAATTTTATACTACAAAGTACCTCGAGGTACTAAATTTTATACTAGAAGGTATCTCGATGTACCAAAAATTTGTGGTACGTACCTCTGGGTATCAAATGTTAGATGGTAAAATTGCTCATATCGATATAGTTCTTCAATTCAACACAGGGTTTCAAATGTATCCTGATATGCAATTTTCAGAACCTGAGGTTTTGAATGTGTTGATTCAAACTAGATATGTGGTTTGGAGTTTTGAAGCTGCAGAGGCAGGTGAAGCTGACTTATCTAGAGAGCAATGGCCCGCTGCGGGTAGAAGGATGAGAGGGTGCGTGGTGGGGAACAAGAACGATGACGAGATGAAGCCGCTCTTGAGCGTGACGCTTCAACACGCTTAGGCCAGGTCCCGCTCACGGAGTTCGCTCCGCCTCATACACGATACCAGCGCCTTCCTGGACGGCATCGCCACCGCGGACGCGCAGTACTCGCATATGTCCCTGGACATGCATCCGTTGGGAAGAGAGAGAGGAGGAAGATGGGTTGGCTGCTGTCATTTGGGGTCCACGTGGAACCCATGCAGTGGCGGAGCCAGGATTTTAAAGTTGGGTATTCCCGTCTAAGCGTTGAGCCGTTGGCCGCTTCTACCCCTCGCGGCTGCCGGCCACCCAACCGGCCTGACTGCCTGAGCTTGGCGGAGTGGCGGGCGCCACCCGCTGCCCGCCGCGGCAATAGCCTCCCCCTCCGTGGTAGCGCGGTCCAGTTCTCGCCGCCAGTTGCCGCCTCGCCGCGCCGCCGCCTAGGGTTTGGAAATGGGGAGCGGCGCGAGGGAGCCGAGCCAGGGAGGGATGGGTCATGGAGGGAGAGCGAGAGGGGGCCGTCTGGAAGAGTGGTGGCTAAGTGGTGGCTAAGTGGATCAACTGATGTCTGATGGGTCATATAGGCTGGTTGGGCTGTGTTTGGATCGAAGAATTGAGGATTTAGGTGCACTAATATATGTACATGTGTATAGGGCTATGTTTGGATCGAATAATTGAGGATTTAGGTGCACTAATATGTGTACATATGTATATATTAGAAATATACTTGTTTTTCGATAAAAAAGTTGGGTATTCCCGGGAATACCCGGGAATCATGGTAGCTCCGCCCATGAACCCATGCTACTAACTCAGTTGTTACGTCAACCAAAATCAGGAGAGATATTGCCTAAGGATCCAATATGATTTGGTTTTGCAAGATTAGTAATGTGTTATATATGTTACTCCCTTCGTTTCACAATATAAGTCATTTTAGCATTTCCCACATTCATATTGATGCTAATGAATCTAGATTTACTCCCTCCGTTTCACAATGTAAGTTATTCTAGCATTTCCTAGATTTATATTGATGCTAATGAATCTAGACATATATATCTATCTAGATTCATTAGTATTAATATGAATGTGGAAAATACTAAAATGACTTACATTGTGAAACGGAGGAAGAATTTCGGTTTAGCGATGATTCTAAAACTAAACACTTTTCCATAAGACGAGGGACCCCGAGTGAACATTTTCCTTAGCCGCTCGCAGGGTCCAGCTGGGGCGCGGGAGCGCGAGACGCAAGCCCGCAACGCTGGCGTGCTCGCGTGAACTGGGTCCCGCACCGATTTATTGGGTCGACGCACAAATTGGCATCGTTTTAGCTGGCTTCGTTGTAGATCCTATAATAACGATACATCATTAATTCGATCATCCCTTGGATGCGGCCTGCGGCTTACATTAAATCTCGATCCAAAGAAGCAAAGATGATGACAGACAGAAATTAATTAAGCTAGAAATCTCCTCGATCGATCACACACACACACACAATTAAGGTACATACATACATGCACTGCTGCAACTGCAACTGCAGGGTCGGTGCGTGGCTACTACAAGTGTACACATGGTACGTTGGTTGGCACCATCTCGATCGTGTCGTTGTGCTCACTTGCCGGGGACGAAGTTGGTGGCGTATGCCCAGGCGTTGTTGGCGACGGGGTCGGCGACGTGGTCGAAGAGGTTCTCGATGGGGCCCTTGCCGGTGACGATGGCCTGGACGAAGAAGCCGAACATGGAGAACATGGCGAGGCGGCCGTTCTTGAGCTCCTTCACCTTGAGCTCGGCGAAGGTGTCAGGGTCGTCGGCGAGGCCGAGCGGGTCGAAGGCGCCGCCTGGGTACACCTTGTCGAGGCCCTCGCCGAGCGGGCCGCCGCCGACGCGGTAGCCCTCGACGAATCCCATGAGCACCACCTGGACCGCCCAGATGGCGAGGATGCTCTGCGCGTGCACCAGGTTGGGGTTCCCCAGGTAGTCGAGCCCCCCCTCGGAGAAGATCTGCGCGCCGGCCTTGAACCACACCGCCTCCCCGAACTTCACCCCGTTCTTGGACAGGATCTCCGGGAAGACGCAGCCCAGCGCCCCCAGCATCGCCCACCGCGAGTGGATCACCTCCAGCTCCCTGTTCCTCGCGAACGTCTCCGGGTCGGCCGATAGCCCCGCCGTGTCCCACCCGTAGTCTCCCGGGAACTCTCCGGTCAGGTACGATGGCGTCTGCTCCGAGAACGGGCCCAGGTACTTGGGACGGTCAGGTCCATACCTGCACATATATATACTTGTATGTTAGCAATTGCAGTGTACATATATACAGTACTTATGTTTGTATATACATGCATGTACGCTACGTACCAGATGCTCTGGGGCGCGCTCTTGACGGTGCGGCGCATGGTGATGCGGCCACCGGAGTCGCCGACGCGGCGGACGAGCTCATCCCGGCGAGGGGCGGTGCCGAGGAAGCTGGTGGTCTGGTGCAGCGCCGACGCGGCCATCGTTCTAACGAGGGCGATGCGGCGGCGGTTGGGTTGGTTTTTTGTGGTGTGTGGTGGAGATGGGCGGCGCGGGAGGGGAGATCTTTATACGGCGTACGAGTGGCGGAGCGGTGGACTGGTGGACGCGCGGCGCGCCACGTCCGCGCCACACAATTGGCCGCCGCGCCCCCGCGACTGGATATGGGTATGGCGCGGAATCTCCTCCCCGTCCACTCCACCAATCCGCTGATGCCACCTGGACGGAAAGATCTCGTCTCCTGCATCCAACACTATCTGCACCCACCAACCAACTCACCTAGCTAGAAGTAGCTTGCTGCTGAAGTGCTGATGGTCTACCGGAAACAAAAAATTGTACAGCTAGCTCAGCATATAAAAATTAACTTGTTCATCAGTGAATTCACTTGGAAAAAGTTACTTGTTCTTTTTGCAACACGATGAATCAGACTATCGCCATAGCCAAAGGGTGGCATTTCTTGCATTCAAAATGATATGTTAATTACTTCGTAGGACTACCTTGCCACTAACTATGGTTTGATGTGGGCCCACTAGTGACAAATTGGTGACTGAAAGACATGATGAAAACTCTTTCAATTAAGACATAATACATTTTTATTAATGGACGCTAGAAATAACAAATTGTTACAAATACGGTCTTTTCTTTTTGGAATTAATATTTTTCATGTAATTTATCATGTTGTCAAACATGCTATATTTTAAGTCATATATATTGAGAGAATTTGCTCCATGTCACTGAGTTTATCATAGTTTAACGATTTGCTATTTGCTATTGACATTATCTTTTTTTCATAATATACCAGTGAGTATATCAATTGTTCTAAAATATGTCATTAGGCTGATTTTTTCTTCAAAATTACCAAAAATATCCTTACAAATGTACAAGGTTAACAATAGGTTTATCCATTTAGAAGTTTCCAAAAAATTATGAAACATTTGTGTAGTATCTTTACACAATATAAAAGTTTCTGTATAGGTTTTAAAATTTCTACATTCTGTTTTTCAAATATAATTCATCCATTATATGCTATACATAATACTTTCAAATTGTTGTTTTTAATGCAAATAATATTTCATATCCAACACAAAATATTTTTAACTACTTTTCTAAAAACATGAAACTTGTGCGCAAACTTCCAAGTTGTGTAAGGAGGCTAAATAAAAAATGATATATTTTTTAAACTTCCAATGGGATAAATCAATTCTTAACATTGTATGTGTATAATAGTGTTTTTTTTTTCTAAAAAAAAGGCTTAGCTCAATGACATATTGTGGAACAATGTCACATCACATTTTTCGTGTTTTCTAATTTGCTTGATTTGAAAATTTTACATTCATATTTATTCGCCTAAAATAGCTTAATAAAAATTTCATAAATGAAAAGGGTTTAATTTGACTAAATAAATTATTAATTATGCCACACTTTTATTTTATCATTTGTTGATTGGAGTTATTTGATTTTTATTTGCCTTTTGGAAGTGGAGCTAAATTCCTAAAATCTCATAAAATTGCTAATCCAGAAAATTTCCCCAACATTCTTAAAATGTCCAAAATTCCAAATCCTTCAAATTTAGACTTTTCTAAAAAAAGTTCCTGTTCTTTTCTTTTTCCTCTCTTTCTCCTTTTTCTTTCTTTCTTCGTCCCGTTGCCTGCTGTTTATCTGTCACGATATCTCCTCCTATCCCTCGATCTGTTTCTGCTCATGGGCCAGCATCCAATGCCCTTCCTATCCCGTGAAGGAATAAGTTCACTTTGACTCCCTTAAAAGTGACCTGAATCTAATTCATCAACCTAAACTACAAAACCGGATATCTCGACCACCGAACTATTGAAACCGGTGCAATTTGATTCCCTAGGCGGTTTTATTGACGTGGCGCCTATGTGGCAGTATTGACCGGGTCTTCTTTACACGTGGCGTTAACGTGGCGCTTAAGTGGCATTAGAATTAAAAAAGTACGTGGGACCAATTTGTCAATTACACAAAAAAAATTGCGGGACCCACTGACAGGTAGGGCCCACATGTCAGTTTATCCCTTCACCCATCTCTCTCTGTCTCTCATTTCGAGCTTGACACGGCAAGGCTATCGGCGCCGGCGCCGGCTGCCTCAATGGCGTCCACTAGAGCACCCTCGCTGAGCTCCGTCCCGCTGCCATCATCACCAGTCGCAGTCCCTTGCGAGCAAGAAAAGGAGATTGGGGAGAGAGAGAGAGAGAGAGAGAGAGAGAGTCCCTCACCGTTGATGGGGTGGCTGAGAAGGCAATGGGCGCGTGCCGAAGTGGCGGTGGTGGTGGACGGTGGCCGGCGTATGGGCGGGCACTGGAGCAGCACCAGGCGAGGGCCACGATGGCGGCGGCGGGCTTGAGGGCGGGCGTTGGAGTGGCGGCGACGACAGGCTGGCGAGGGCCGAACAACTCTCCATGGCCACCCCTCTTGTGGACCTCGGTGTCCGCGCTGCTCGATGCCGCCGCCGCTCCAGGTCTAGGGGTGCCCACCACCACCGTTGGTCGATCGCCTCGCCCTTTCGTTCCCCTCAGATTCACTTGCCGTGGTGGCGCCATATCGAAGATGGAAGAGGAGGCGACGCTGCTAGAGAAACGGAGAAGCCTGGATGCCTTGCGTCGCCACCTAGCTCTTTTCCCCTACCGGCTACTGCTCACCGCCGCTGCCGAGGGAAGTAAAGGTGGGAGAAAGAGATAAATAAGGGAGAGAGGAGGAGGACGAGGGGCGGCATCGCTGGAGCCACGCCGGTTGCATTTGGGGCAGTGCCGCCACTACCATTCGCTCTCGTTGGCCGCCACCGAAGGGGAGAGAAAGAGAAAGAAAGAGAGAAGGGAGGAAGAGGGGAGGAAGCAGAGAGAGAGGATGACATGTGGGGCCCATATGTCAGTGGACCCCACAAAATTTATGTGTGTGAATGACAAACGGGTCCCACATATATGTTTTTTATTCAAATACCACCTAAGCGCCACGTCAACCCCACGTACTAGGTCAACACCACCACATCAGCGCCATGTCAGCAAAACCGCCCCTCCAAAACCACCCAGGGAGTTAAATTGCACTGGTTTCAATAGTTTGGGGGTCTAGATATCTGGTTTTGTGGTTTAGGGTCATGAATTAGATTCGGGTCACTTGTAAGGGAGTCAAAGTGAACTTATTCCTTCCTACTGAAACGAGCTGCAGAATTTGGAATAAGTTCACTTTGGGTGCCTCTATTTCTCGTCCAGTCCGATTTTCGTCCCTTGACCGCAAAACCGGGTACGACCCGTCCCCCAACTTACGAAAATCAGGCAAACAAGGTCCCTCCGCGGTTTTGGCTGATGTGGCGCCTACGTGGCTTGTTTGACCAGGTCTCTGTCCGACGTGGCATTGACGTGGCGCTTACGTGGCAATTCAACTCGAAAAATAAATAAACCTCATGGGACCCACATGTCAGTTTCACACAGAAATTATAAAAAAGGTGGGGCCCACGTGGGCCTCACATGTCATTCTCTCCCCTTTCCCTCCACCGCCCTTCGCCGCCCGCGCCCGCCGGCGGTTACCGACGACGCGACTCCATCCGCCGCCGCAGCCCAGCGACCGGCGGCGTCGCCTGCCTCCCTGACCTGCCACGGCCACGAGTTAGTGCAAGCGCACCCGCCGTCCCGCCGCTCCCGCCGGTAAGGAGGTTCCCCTGTTGCCATGCTGTATCGAAGAGAACCAGCAATGCTTCCTCCCTGCTCCCCGTGCCGGCCATTGCGACGGTCTCCTCTTCTTCCCTCTTGCTGCCTCCTCTCTCCTGGTCCTTATTCTTCACGATCTCCGTGTCCTTCATGGCATTCGTGATCTCTGCAGCTGGCGTCTCCACTCGCTGTACATCCTCCACGCAGACCACGCCGCATTCTTGGCCACCTGATACGTCGGCGCGTTTCGCCGGACTCGCTGCCTCTCCTTTGCCGTCAACGGGAGCCTTGTCGCCATGCACGGTAACGGTGTTGCCACCGCCACCGCCGCCGTCATCCGCCGTGACGACCTCCAAGTTCTTGAGTTCCTTCCGAGCCCATAGGAGTAGCTCATACGCATATACATCGGGTATAGACGGCCGCATGCATATGCGTCTTCGTACGAGCATATATATGCATGCATGGAGACGACCAGCTATAGCTTCTAGCTAGCTTCTTATTGGTTTGCCGCCAACAACATGCAGACGTATATATTAGCCAAGCATGTGTATATGGCTTAGCACACTCACATGTATATATGCCATTACATGCATGACTCATGCATGAGTCATATTTAATTCATTAGCTTGCTTAGCACATTAGCGTTGTTAGCTAGCTAATTTACCTGCTTCCTGCAACCAGCCACTAACACAAAGTATGCGAGCGTGGCGGAGGAGCGGCGGCGGGCGAGCGCAGCAGTGGGCAAAGCAGCGGAGGGCGAGCGCGGCCGCGGGCAGAGCAGCGGAGGGCGAGCTAGGCGAAGAGGAAGACAGTGGATGGGATGGGGAGCTCCCCCGTGCTCGCCGGCCACCACCGCCGTGCCCCAGCGGGTGCCCCACGGCGCCGGCGACGAAGGCCTCGAGGCCGTCGATCGCGTCGTGAGCTTGCCGGGCAGGGACTCGATGAGGAGGACGAGGTCGTCGGCCCTGCCGAGGACGCGCTCGGTGGCCGGGAAGAGCACCGCCGCGATGTCCTGGATGACGAGGAGCTGCTTGTCCGTGAAGGCCAGCGTGGGGCCCACCAGATGTCCCTAAAGACGGTGTGAAACTGACATGTGGGGCTCACGTGGACCCCACCTTTTTTATAATTTCTGTGTGAAACTGACATGTGGGTCCCACAAGGTTTATTTATTTTTTGGGTTGAATTGCCACGTAAACGCCACGTCAATGCCACGTGGGACGGAGACCTAGTCAAACAAGCCACGTAGGCGCCATGTCAGCCAAAACCGCCTTCAAAACCACCGAGGGACCTCGTTTGTCCGGTTTTCAAAAGTTGGGGGACTGGTTTTGTGGTCAAGGGACGAAAATCAGACTGGGCGACAAATAGAGGAACCCAAAGTGAACTTATTCCACAGTATTTTCTTCATTTGGGCCAGAGACTAGTGGACCTTTTTCTTGACTTGTCTGGGCCAAAGCCCATGCCTGACTTGACT